CGGTCGAGCGCACCGCTTCTCGCCGCGCCGCACACCACTCGCCACCACATCTCCACTCTCATTAATACAATCCGGAACCAAATTATTCTACTATATCTTTGTTATGGATTACCAAATAATCAACAAATTAATATTTTTGTATATACTTAAATTTATCTTATTAAATGACAACCTTGTCAGACATCACTTATCTGCAACAGAAAGTGAAACTGAAAAAACTTTATGATAAATGTTAAAACATAACCAACAGTTATTTTTTATTCCTTACTATCTAAAATTTCTAACACATAAATAACATCTCATCTACACACAAGACATAATCGTATGGATATTATATTCTAAGACCAAAACTACTTATAGAAAAATGAGAGTCGACAAAGTTGGTGAGTCGAAAAACCCACCGTGGAAATGCGCCTTAAAGCGTCTTTTGTCTCAAATTTACACTTTGGTATCCTTCAAATAGTAGACTAGTCAATGATACTCTGCTTACTGAGAGAAAGACAAATGTGTGTTAGATTTGTATTCAGTAAAAATAGGTGATCATTCCATGTCCGATTCTTTAAATAGAGAGGATAATACATACTTCATCAGGCTTGATTGTGCTTAAAATCTTAGTCTGCACTTTATTCATGACGATCACATCTCTATTTTCGTCACAAAATCCAAATATTGCTAATATTGAAAATAAATGCAATGGACTTACAATATTTTAGGTCAAAATGAATTTAACTAATCAGGTATGAAATGCGACGTTTTGCTCCTACAACGGCGCGCGATCCGACGCAAGCATATTTTCAATTCTGAGAATATTACATCAATGTCCAACAGTTGGCGGGTGTAGAGTTTCCTATTTGTAGGTAACGCACTCGAATTTGTCATATTGTACTATTCCATTGCCTATTTGATAAGGCACATTTTAAAATCTGAGGCAAAATAGTATTTTTACTTGCCTTTTATTATTTTTCATTATAGTTTTGCTTTTTTTGAATAACTATTTATTTACATATTTTTTCATTATATGTACGGTTTAACTAGGTTTCGCCTGCGACTCCGTCTGCGTGGAATTAAAAAAAAATAGCCTACGTGTTCTTCCAGACTATAGATGATGTAGAGACATCTATGTCAAATTTCATCTAGATCCGTTCAGCTGTTTAGGCTACAAACTTTAACAAAAATCCATCCATCCATCTAAACTTTCGCATTTATAATATAAGTGAGATTTATACGTCATATTAAAGTAATTTTAGTCTAAAAAAATATGAATTTAACATCATACTAAAAGAGTTAATAACTGATGTGTTAACGGTATCTAGTTACTAATGCAATAATATAACTAGTAAACATATATTTTTAATAAACAAATAGTTGTCAATTGCTCAAAGTTTTCAGTATAAAAAAATGATCATCTTAAAAGTCTTTAGGCATATCAAATTTACGTAAATTCAGTCTAATCGAAATGTCTATTGCCTTTGTGCGCCATAACTAGATCCATTTGATGAAATGCGGTCGAAGCCCTTTCTTTATGAATCGAGGTCTATGCACTTGTGTGGGGTGTTGAACCAAAAACTAAGCTACTTAGCTTCATCGTTTGTTGAACTCACCTTCGATCGTGCATTATTATTTTTACTTTTACTTTAAAAGTAATACGATAGAATTAACTCATTGGACAATTAGAACTCTATTACCATATGTTATTCTGTTGAATAACTAAGTTTAAAACTTTAAATAATTCGACAACACATTATTAAAGTATTTTATAAGAGCCGTAGTTCTCTATTTTCTATTTTCTTATTGACAATTTGGTAATATTTTTTTTATAAAATACGAACCAGTGCAATTTCTATCTAATCCGATAAGGTCAGTGATTAATCTTTTAAATGTTAATTATACGTGAATGAGCTTAGAAAAGTCCCAAAAGCTCGTCCGTTTTTTTAAGTTTTTTTGTCACCGACCTCAAGTTATGCACGGTGAAAGGAACTCTCTCGGAGAGCAACTTGAAACGACGTGCTTTTTCTTAGCAGCACTTCTATGCAGCGTCTCAAGGTCTAAAATGCATTCGTTCGTAACGGTCATTATAAATTTTAGGAATCTAACGAGGTAGAAATTAGAAAATTGGAATAATGACTAAACAAATTTAATAAAATGTAACACGAAATGCATGTCGCTTCTAAGATAACCTACCTTATGGTTTAGAAACATGTTATATACGGAAACACAATATAAAAAAATAACAGCTTCCTGAACTTTTAAGATGAAAACTAACTGTTCCCATGCGACTTCATCCACATTAAATTATAAAAATTTCATTTTATTGTTTACATTTGTAAATTATCAATTGCAAATGTTAAAATGACATGACATGATGTCAAACCATTACAACCTTGATTCCTTAATGTTGGCAGCAACTTATGGTCTCTTTCCCACATTAGGGTTTTTATCCAAAATATTTACCCCAAAGTGTAATGGCGTGAAAATGTAGCCTAAAGCATAACGGAAGTGTAGGGCTTTTTATTACAGGAAGAGTTATCCAAAAATATGCTGCAATTGCTGACATCTTAGGCAACAAAGAAGTGTGTTTACTCTTTATTATAATAAGTATAGATAAATAAGATACTCAAAGACTCCAAATTGTATTTATATAAGTATTTCGCTATTAAGCCATTAGTTGAAATTTACATCTTCTATACCTTTGTATTAAAATAAGATTAAAATTTAAAATTAAACGATAGTAAGTACATGCACCTAGCTACTATTTTACACCGCACATTTGCAAATCTGTTTTTAGACAATGTTTTTGTTATTAATATTTCTTCCTTCTACTAGTGTGTTTTTATTTCTAAATATTATGTACATTTATAAATTAAAATAATATTAATTTTGTTTTCCTTGTAAGGTTTTTCTAGTATCTAATGTACAGTACGTATGTAAGTATGTACGACAGTACATACGTACAGTCGGGGAAATTGGCAGTGTTCCACTTTACAGGCTACATTTGTACATTTTGAAACGAGACGACGAAAAACAAATACAACGCGGCTTATAAATGTATTTGATCGTAAAAAGTGGAATAGTGATACACGGCTAGTTTCTTTTTATTATCCCTTTGTTTTCACTTACTGGTATCTAAATAGTTCTTTGTAGGAAGAGATGGGGTTTGTCTCCTGCAATAAAGAGATGATTCTTCGTAAAGTAGATCACCGCGGATTTTCGCGACTGTACTTAAGATTCTGTTCATATTTGTGATAACTATGTAACCCGTTTACTTTCTTTAGGCTTACTGAAGACTAGTTTGGCATCTTGTGGTAAATACAGCGATATCGTTAAGGTTGATTAGTTTGGTAAAGTTTTGATGTAGGAGCAAAGTTCGCGATGGGTGGCGGACGAGGCGATGCGAACGTTCGCCAGCGGCGCGGCGGTGTCTACTGCAAGTCAGCTCACTTCCAAGAAATGTAGAGACGTGAGCCTCGGCCGCGACTAAGGGATTTATTTTCTGTTAACGCTTGCGAAAACTATTCGGTAACAATTTAATAATTCGATCTGTATTTTTTAATGACGATGTTGGCGAATTAACAGTTAATCATTAGGTTTTTAACTTTCGTGAGATTAGATTTTAAATTTTAAACAAACTTATGTCTTATTAGTTTTTACTTGTATTAGGAAGAAAAAAATATTTATCATCATATTCTGAGGAATATTCAAATTCTAAAATAAAGTCTTTTTACACAAAGTTACCCACACAAACAATAGCAGACTACAACTTATTAGTAGTACACATTCAACAGCTGCGTAGACCGTGCACACTAAGCCAACCGTGTCCACTGTGACATACAATGCACACATACAAAAATAAATTAATAACTATTGATTGATTAAAAAAAATACTTCGACTGATTTACCCTTAATATATTCCCGTGTAGAATACGATGTTATGATACATCATTCTACATAATTTATAAGCTATTCAGGTGCAGGTTCAGATTGCAGTACAATGTTTATAATTGCATACCTGCGAAAAAAAATAATTGTCTTATAAATTAGCAATTATCAATCATAAAAATCTATGGATAATGTAAATAAGAACTAATTCTATATGTGATAGAGGAACCGAGGAATTTAAAAAATATTCGCTACAGTTCAAACGCTGCACCGCGCGCCTTACGGAATCATTTTTTGTAAGCCGTCTAGTTGTTGGCGTGTTAGGCGGCGAGTTTTTTTTTCTGCAAGCCAGTCGCTTCGTGACCTCGACTGACATTAAAAATGGTTATGCCTCATGCATTTATACAACTTTTTTGCAGAAACGGGTTAGGTGTATGACATACCACAAAATCTCAGATATCAACGATTTATGTCTAATTTTTTCTTATATTTTTTTTAATTAACAAAGCCAGCATTCAATTTGTAAACAATTCGCACGTTTTTGGACAAGACAGTTACAAATGACAGATGTATAAATATTGCTTCTTACTAATCTCACTAACATTATAAATGCGAAGGATTGTATATTT